TCTCCTTCTCTAACCATCGCTGAAAAGCCAAAATCAACCACAGTTGATAAGGCTTCAATGATCTGCTTTAACTATAAACGTAAAGGATACTTTGTGAGTAAATGCAGATCAAAGAGAGCTACGAAGCCATCTTCTACATCAACCTCCTTTAATCCTAAAGACGACAAATATCTAAAGCTGAAAGAGAAGTACAAGAAGATGAAGAACCACCACCATAAGGGTAAGGGGCTTATCATTGAAGAATATGACTGGCCAGATTTATTTAAATAATCATCCTAAGATGAGAAAAATTGTTAGGTCATATATTATTGTATCCGAGATCACCAAGTTTAAAGATTGAAGAGGCCAAAGCTTAAAGTCAATATTGTGCTCAATTGTAGTTTGACTGGTATGTTTAGCCAATCATATAAATAGCTTTGCAATTGTAATTGTAAAAAAATAGATGCATACATAAGGATTCATATTGTAATATTCTAGAGAGAGATTATAGAGAGGGAAATATGTATTGAGATAAATTATCAATGTACATGATGAGTAAAGAGACAAACTTGTATTGAGTGAGTTTATCCATATACATGATGATTTGATCTTTAGATTGTTGTTTTTATTGTTTAATTCATTGTTATCTGATTGAAACTGGGTTTAACAATTGCTATCAGAGCTAATTCAATTTGATTTTAGAAGATTTGAGCAAAAATTTGAAGTTTTCTATGTTCTTGAAATTGTCGGCTCTGTTTTGAATCTGATCTGATTTTGATAATATTGATGAATTTTGTTTAATATTTTGACACAGATTTGCTTGAAACACATCATAGATCAATCCTGTGAATTTTCAATATCAAATTTGTAGATTTGATCAATCAGTTTGAAGATTTTGTAAACTTTTGGACTATTCGAACTTGAGTCATGTTCTTGAAAAATTGATCAAATTCTTGTAATTTGATTCAAATTTGTGATTAGAACCTTCACTAATTGTGTTTCTACATCATTTTTAAGCTTCATAATCATATTATAATCATGATTTGTTGAGTTTTTGTGATTTGAGATTCGATTTGATCAAGATTCAAGTATATCGCAATTTATGAAAATTTGAAGATCTATCACATAGATGTGTGCAATAGTTGAGTATACCGCACCAGTGGTGAGCGATAGTTGACTATATCGCACAAAAAGGCTGCGATAGTTGGAATTACCGCACAAAGAGGTTGCGATAATTAGATCTATCGCACAAAGAGGCTATGATAGTTGGTTATATCGCACAAGAAGCCTAGTTTACTGTTCATACATAGTTATCTGTGATAGTTGGAACTATTGCATGATACTATTTGCGATAGTTGAGTATATTGCATAAATCTTAGAGTTACTGCTCATTCTTGTTGTGTGCTAAGTCGCAGTAGGGGGAATAGTTCATTTTTGGATTTTTTTTAAATCTTTGGATAATCATTTTGATTAACGATCATTTTAATCATATAACAATGTCTTCTTCAATTTATGATTTACAAAAGCAAATTTCTAACCTGAATGACAAGATTGTAGATTATTGAAAGTGCCCGTATAATATATCAAGATATATGAACAAGAATAGAGCATGAAGAACTAAGGGTATTGCCAAAAGATTGCTTTTTATTGAATAAAATGGATTACATAGAAGTGCAACAATCTGCTTATAAAGAATGATGAATGAAAAATAATCTAGAATCCTATCAAACAATAAAGAATAGCCTATCTATTTATACAAAGAATAAATCCTATAAACAAGGAAAAACAACTAGATAAGTATTATCGGCTTCAAAGTTGTTGGCAGGATAAACATGAAAGATTCCTTTGTTCAGAGTTATTCTAACTCTAAACTCAAAGTCTTCAGACTTCATCTTCAGATTTGTACTTGATCGCTCTGGGTCTTCACTTCTTCCAAGATTTACTCTACAGAGTTAACGCTTGTGCACATAAATGTTCTTGTACCCAAACTCTGAAGTCTGGTATTCCAGAGTTCTGAAGTTAACTCTTAAGAGTTATGACTTGCATCTTTTCTTGTACTCAAAACTCTTACTTCTGCTACGTAGAATTTTGAAGTCAATTATTCAGACTTTTATACTTAGAGAAATTTGAACAATCTTCTTGATCTTTCATTCTCCCCCTTTGCTTTAAAGTTCAAATCCTCTATCAATAAGGATTGGAATGAACTTCTCTGTAGCTTAGGTGGGAGTCTATCTCCTTCCTCATCCATATCACCAGCTTCCTCACCTTGGAGCTAATCTTCATGAGATATAATTTTGGGTCTCTTTCATAGTCTCTTCTCTAAAGAGTTGTTGATCTACTTCAGAGTACTAGAACTATATTTATGAATGTCATATCTCTACCAAAACTGTATTTATTAATGTCATATACTCTAAAGAGAAATCTTCCATGTAGGTTCTTGTAGATGTACCCAGGTGGATCACACACAACTGTACCAGCGTGATAATTCTCCAAATCTCCTAGATTTATGTTTGGTGACATCAAATAAACTCTTTACCTCTTTAAGGTGAGTGCCAGTTGGAAGTCCACCGTTCCAGCCCATAGAGTTGCTCTGGGTATGCCACGAGTTATGGCTAGAAGTCCTTTTTTGAACTGGGCAACTTTTTCTTCAAAGGGGGTCAACTTGTTGTAGATTTGAAGCATGTCCTGAAGATGGACAAATGGGGTAGTCTGCGTCTGAAAACTCATATATCCTTCTACCTTCCCTCTTCACAACAAATACTTGGTAGACTTTGCTTCTCCAAGTTCTCTGCTTCACATCAACTAATCTTGTGATGTGCAAGTCTGAGTAGACATCTCTCCTTAGTTTGCCAATTTGTTCATGAAGACTTCATATTCTCTTTTAGAATTTGGAGATTCCATGTAAATGAATCTACATAGTTGATAACCCTGAATTCCTCATCTGTCATGAATAGTTTCCAGAATTTGAATTCTAGGAACCATTCATCCAGATTCAGAGGGCTTGCCTTTTATTTCTCTGGTTCTTTGGCTTTTTCTTTCAGAGTAGGAGTAACATAGTACTCATAAGGCAGGAAGACATCTTTGGCCAGTGCTTTCTTTGAATTATCTTCCTTGATCACCAGACTTACGCATTCTTTCACAAGCTCTCTTAGTTTCAACCTTGCTTGAATTTCTTTAATGAATTTTTATTTTATTTCAACTTGAGAGGTTGAAACATCTTCAAAATCTTAGAGGAAGTGCTTGAGGACCTCAGAAGTAAATAGGGGCAAACTGGTTACATTCAGAACACATATCTTTGAGGGTGTTCTGAAGTAGTACTCTGGCGCTGGAAGTTTGAAAACCTTCCAACAAGTGGTCTGCTCTCAAAGGTTTGGAAGAGAGGTTCTTTACAATTAATCCTTGGCAACTTGAGGTTCACAACTTGGAGGTCATACAAACCTAGATTTCTTATGTATATACCCATTGTTCTTCTCAGCTCCAGTCTTCCCAAGAAATGTCTGCTTTTTGAAAAAAGTTGAGCAAAAACATTTGGTCTTGTAGCTTTATTCTTGAGAAATCTGCATTTGTTAGCTGGTACATGCAGTTGTCTTCCCTTATTAGTTTGAGTTTCAAATAGTCCATAACAACAAAGGATTTTCTCTGGAATTCTACCACTTGAACAATTGGACTATCCAGGTTCATTTCTTCTCTGTTCTTCCTTAATCTACTCACCATCTCAAAATACATCATTTGAATTTCTCTAAGCCACTTGCCATCATTCTCATGCTCTAGTAGCACCTTCTCCTCATGGTCTGTGAGGAACATATGGTTGAAATTTTTAAAAGAGACCATGGTTCCATCATTCCTTATGAACTCTATCTCATCTTGAAAGCCTACTTCATTTTCAAAGGTCTGTACTGCAGGCTCTTCTTCGGGTTGCTCAGGTCTATGTACATGTTGAGCATTATTTGTATTGGATGAATATTGAATAGTTGGATCTGGAATGAATGAAAGAATCTTGAATGAATGGAATAAATGAAACAATTGCAAGACATGAGTTTTTTAAAACTTCCTCATGCTTGTCCTCTAGTTCATCACTTGAGTTGTTAAACTCCCCATCAGAACTAGGAATCTCAATTGGGGCTGCTTCATCAGTTTCCATCTTGTCTTAAGCATCAACCCTTGTCTCTACTTCAACATCAATTATTTCCACCTCTTCATCTTCTTCTTGAATGCTCCAGTGTCTCCTTGAACTTGTTCTTTTGTTTCCCTTTCTACCTCCTTTTCTCTTTCTACAGCCTCCTCCAGCCTCAATCTCTTCCTCTTCTCCCCCTCATGATCATCAGAATCACTCTGATCATCATGCTTTATTTTTGAGGAGCCATTCCAAAATATGGTGGAAGAATTTGTGAATTTCATTGTAAAACAAGAGGTCTTTACACAAGAGTTTTTATCCTATGAAGGTTACAATCAAGCTCTTTGATAGAGAGCAATATAAGGATTCTACATAGAGAAAATTTACGCAATATTTGAGAAATAATTACTCCAAAAATAGCTTCATATGGCAGTTATGATTTTGGTCTATCAAACATGCTAAATAATGACTTCGGTTGAAAGCGAATGGAAACGATGGAGGACCTGGTCTAATCTTCAAATTCGAGTTATAATTGACTCAATTTGTGCAAACCACTTGGATAATTTATATAATTGACTCTCTCTCTCTCTCTCTCTCTACATACATATAGGTTGGATTTGAAGAGACCGGTATAATCCTGATCCAACATCAAACCCGTTCCAAACCCTCTTTAAGCATAAAATTCGCCCATCCTTGCCCCTTTAACTCCCAAGACGGAAAATCCAGACCCGTACTCAAGTAACGGTCCCAAATATCACATTTTCGACTCTACTTATTTGAACCACTCAAACCCTAGGGAATAAGTTTGGATCAAAAGACCCGTTGACTTGGAGATCCGGTCTAAGCAATGAAAGAAGGAAGGAAGAAAATATAGAAGAAAATGAAAAGAATACCAAAAAGCAGGAAAACAGAGGGGCACTTCTCAACGGTCTACCAACCCCATTCATTCCTCAGCTGAGGGAGAACAAATTAGAGGTTTTCCGATAATTGATCTGTGATTATGGTGCCATCAACCGAGCGTTTGAGCTTACCGGTCTCGGATCCTTCTCCTCAGCAAAGAGGCGGCGCTGGTGAACAGAGGCTTTTCAAAGGATCCGCCATGACCACTCGCGGTGCTTACGCTGCCGTTTCTTACATGTCTTGCGCTGGTATTCTTTTCTATATCCATCTATCTATAATTCTCTGTGTTCTTAGTGTATTCTCGAATAAAGAAATATTAAGTTCTGATGAAGGATAAGAATTATCGACAGTCGAATTACTGATTGATGACTTGTCAATGAGTTGATTTTTTTGAGTAGAGGATAGTGAGAAGAGTTTGAGGGGTTTTTGGAGGAATAGAGTATGTATGATGAGTTATTATTTTTCTTCATTATAGGAGAGGTATATTGGTTCGTATATATATACATATGTTAATTTTAGGTGAATAATGTATCATCGGATTTGAAGAACCTCGTATGTCAAGATTGCTGAAAACTATATCATTTTGATGGATTAAAAGTTGAGTTTTGTAAGATCACAAACTACCACCATGACATCTGTAGTGATTTATTCCCAATCAATTTCTTATGTTGCCAATCAACAATATGATTATTGTTAAGTAACCCAAAATTTTAGTTTATAACGAACTTGAGAGAAAGTAGTAGTGAGAGACTTCTGTGGAAGAATTGGGGAATCAGAAAGTTTGCTATATGCTTTTAGTCTATGAATTTAGTGAATTTAACATCTTAGAAGTTGATATGGCTCATTTTTATCCATAGAATCCTTTTCATCCTGTCTTGTATATCTGTAAGTTTTTATTTATTAGTTTCTCAACCACGAGGAAATAAAATGGGCACTAAGGAGATGCTTGCAATCTTAAGCAGTAACACACTTACTTCAGCAATTTTGACTAGGACGAAGTTTCCTCTTGTTTATTGTTTTAGTATGCCAATTTGATTTCTTCTTATAAAATTATAGGCATGAGGCATATGGGTTATGGGTATGTTAGATCATCCGCAAATGAGATTGTTTGAACTGTTAGCAATCTGTATGTTTGGAATTGAAATTCTTTTTGACACATTCCTTTAAAGTTATTCTATTATATATGCATAAAAGATTCTCCCCTATTTGTAAGCTTTGACATGTCATTCTTAATTTTTCTTTGGCTATGTTTTCAAACTAGGCTTTGCTTTGATTTTACAGTGTTGCTGGTATTGTTCAACAAAGCAGCTCTTTCATCCTATAGTTTTCCATCTGCAAATGTCATCACACTATTTCAGGTTCGAAAATACCTACTTTATGTACATAATCATTTCAAGTATGAGTTCCCTCTAATATCCACTTAATGGGAAAATATGGTATTGGTTTATTGGGCTATTGTATTTGTCATGAAGACTGTGATCTTTGACTTGCTTATTTCTTTCTACATGTTATTGATTTTCATCCTAATTAAAGGTCACATAACAGAAGGAGCTAACGCCATGAATTCTTTCTCCTCCCACTTTCTCTCTCTCTATTACACACACACATTGGAAGGGAGGCCATGGTTTACCAGAAGTCTGATGTGAGATCTTGATCTAGGTGCCTACTAAGTTCAAAGATCCCAAATTACACTGATTTGTGCATAGTTAACAACTGTTGTCCATCAACCTGCCATGGACTACTACATCAACTGGATTTTGAAATTGCCTTTTTGCGTGTGAGAACTTGACTACACCACCTTCTTTGGTTGATTTGTGTTTTAGTAAATACGGTTAAAAACGTTTTTCTAAAGTCTAAACATGTAAGCCCAGTGGAGGATTGCTATCATGTCATAGTATTATCATGCCCACTCCATTATCTAGAAAGAGATACATTAGACTTTTTGAAGTCAGAACTGTACTTACCAAATACATACTTGATATGCATTTTGGTACTAATTCATCACCATAATTTTCGTTTTTTAGAAGGCGTTATGAAGTTCTATATAGATGTCAAGTTTAATACAAAATTTTGAAATCTACATTAATGGTGTAGTACAACAGTTAAAAGTTCAATAGAAAGGCAAACATATCTAGTCTTTTAAATAGGAGTATATGTCATTTTAGGTCAGTGGCGAAGCCACATTGGAGCCACAGAGGGCACAGACTCCCCTTGGCATTTCATTTTTTTATAGGACATATATATAGGCGAGTCATACTTATTTGTTGTTTGGGCTCCATCCATCATCTAGAAACAGATACATTAGACTTTTTGAAGTCAGAACTGTACTTACTAAACACATACTTGATATGCATTTTGTTACTAATTCATCACCATAATCTTCGTTTTTTAGAAGGCGTTATGAAGTTCTATATATATGTCAAGTTTGATACAAAGTTTGAAATCTACATTAATGGTGTACTACAACAGTTGAAAGTTCAATAGAAAGGCAAAACATATCTAGTCTTTTAAATGGAAGGAGTATATGTCATTTTAGGTCAGTGGCGAAGCCACGTTGGAGCCACAGAGGGCACAGGCTCCCCTTGGCATTTCATTTTTTTATAGGACATACATATAGGCGAGTCATACTTATTTGTTATTTGGGCTCCCTCTCTCACAAAAGTGTTGCTCTATGTATATTTAGATCCCTCTGAGTTTGTGGCTGAGAGTAGGAGAAATTTGGAGCGGTGGTGGTGGTTGTTCTTTTTATATCTATAATACAACAGTCCTAAACTTAATTAATTTTCATATACACATCTTTAATTCATTTGTAACAACTCCATCTCAATTATATATGTTTTTTCTCACATAATTCCATTAATATATTGTTAAGAAAATAGAAAAACCAATGGAAATCTACTAAAAAAAGTTTTAACTTAGTGATTTATTTTAATGTTTTTAAACCTTTAATTTCAATTACAGAAATTGAAAAGAGTCAATCAAAACCTATTAGCTCGGCTCTATCAAATTGGTATCATGGATAAGTTTCAGAAAATTGCTTTTCTAGATAAGTTTTAGAAAATGGAATTTAGCATTGTGTTTGAATTTCTAAATTTATCATTTCATTAATATAAATCATCATGCTTATCATTTAATAAAAATTAATATTTATTTGTATTTTTAATTTATTTTATTTTTGTTTGCTCAATGCACTCCCCCTAATTCAAAATCCTGACTCTAACACTATTTTAGGTGGCAACAAATATGATCATGAGCATGTAGTTCTGATTGGCCTTCAAAGTATACTTTTGGATTGAATTTCCCAATTCTATGTTATTTGAAGGCTATCACATTTTTGAAATTGAACTTCTATCGACTTTGGATGTTAAAATGTTATCTCATAAAGATAAATTAAATTCTTCTTGAAACAACTAACATGTGTTTTCTATTGATGACATCAGAAGTAGTTCCATTGGCATTAAGATACCCGAGAACATGGTCAAGTGTTTAAGTAATGACAAAAACAACAAAGCCTTTATTACAAGCTTGTCGGACATCATTCTAAAACAACAGCAACTAAAGACGGACCATTACTACAACTACCACTAGAAGAAATCTACTATCCCAAACTATTTAGGATAGAGTTCGTTCCTAGTTTGATGCTAGGACGTTTGGTTACGGGTGTTGCATTCCCTTTGAATTGAGCTAGGTTAGACTGCAAGATTTGTTGGTGTTAAGTTTACTTCACCATATGGAAGGAGTTTCTCTAAACTACTCGATATATTTGGATTTCAGATAGCTCTAGAGTAAGGTACAAATGACATGCTAGGACATTTGTTATGACTTATGGGTGTTGCATCTTTTTTGAAGCAAGATTGTGTTGGTGTTAAGTTTACTTCACTATATGGAAGGAGTTTCTCTAAACTACTCGATATATGTGGATTTCCAATAGCTCTAGAGTGAGGTACAAATGACATGAAAGAATAACCTGAAGACTGGGTGCCAAAAAAGGATGATAACAATTGACAAGAGAAATATGACAGTGAAACAAAAAAGCAAAATAAAGAGGTGACTCCTAGGTTTCAACTCATGAATGGCTTCTTGTAGTGTATTCCTCTCTAAGGGGTATATTCTATCTTTAAGAATATCTCTTGTCTACTTTCCACATGTCCATCTTGGCCGATCTCTACCTCTCTTAACAAGCCCCTCTTGATGAAAGTAGTAGTTCTCATTGCCATTGATACATCAGAGAATATGGTCAAGTGTCCAAGTTTTTAGGGAAGTCTTATGTTGACAATGACAAGAACAACAAAGAGTTTATTGTAAACTAGTGGAACTTCATGCTCAAACAACAAGTACTATGACAAGAACGACCGCCAACTACAACAATCACCAGGAGAAATCTATTAGTAATTAGGGGTAAGTCCATTCCTAGCTTGGATCCATTACAAGCGTGGCATCGCTTTTAAAAAAGCTAGGCAAGAATGAAAGAGTTTAGGTGTTAAGTGTGCTTCACTATATGGAAGGGGAGTCTCTAAGCTGCTCATTTTTATTTGGATTTCTCATAGCTCCAGAGTGAATTTCATTTGATATTGATAAGCTAACCTGAAGAATAGGTGGTCAAAGAAAGACCAAATAAGACAAGGAAACCGATAAGCAAAAATAATGAGGTGATCCCTAAGATTTGCTTCCTTTAATGGATTCTGCTCTAAGGGGTATGCTCTGCCTACAAGATATCACTTGTCTACTTTCTACTTGTAGATCTTGACCAATCTTCATCTCTCATAACAAACTCCTCTTGACACAGTCATCTTTTTCCAATCATTGCATTAGAAGGTCTAAGTTGAAAGATGGCTAGACCACCTCGAAGGTGTTGCCTCAGCTTCTCTTCACTCACTACTTCCCCAGCCTTCTCTAGAATATTCTCATTTCTAGTGCTATCCCCTTTTCTGAGGCCAACATTCACATACATAAATGAGCATCTACTGTGCATTAACTGTTTATATAATATCACACAAAGTTTTGCCTTTAGACAGTTGCAGGTCTTCCTGTTGTCCTATATAAATTACCTTTTTAGCTCCTCTTATGGGATTATGCGAAGCTTCATTCATGCAAGAATTGTAATTGTCATTTGTCTACTGTTTCTTATCCTATGACTAACGTTTTCATCAATCTCTCCATCATTGTGTAATTGCACATAACGAAATATGCCTTTCCTAATTACTTGCTCCTAGAAAATACATACTGCATCTTTCGCTTCCCTATCAACCCCATAGAAATGCACTTCAGATATTGCATTTTATTCCATCTTAATAAATGTTCAGATAACAAAGCTTGTCTTGAAATGTCAATTGACATCAACACCCTGCCTAATCTCACCAATCTATTTCATTGGTGAGATACCATCCCCTTAGGAGATTATAAATGTATGTTGAGAGATGATCTAACTTAATTGAGCACAACCTTAGAAATTTGCATTGTCAACTCTCGTATCTAAGTTTGATTCCTTAGTTATACTCTTTTCTCGAGTGCTGTTACTTGGTGTAGTCTTACCAATCAACACTCTATGTCTACATCATTGTCACGACATCATGCTCATAGGAGACATAAGATTAGGTGGAATGGCTTGAGGCATGGCGTGGCGGCGAGGTCAAGCCTCAAGCCTTAGGAGCCACGGCGAAGCCATGGCGTTTTTCAAGATGTGACTTATGGCAGCAAATCCTTATATCATATATAATATTATATATATATTTATGTATATAATACTACTACTACTCAATGAATCAATGATGATAAACAATTTAAATTACGTTATATATTTAACACTCACAAACAAGACATTAAAAAGTTAAGGAAAAAAAATCAAATGTTGCGTTAAAAAAACTATGCCTTAGGCCACGGCGTGTCATAGGATTAACGTGGCATGAGACACAAGCCTTAAGTCACGGCAGCGCGCCATGGCAGTTGTTGGGCGAGCCTTTTAGAACAGTGGGTAGAGGGAGGGAGAGAGAGAGGAGGAGGATTTACCTTAGTTGAGCATGAATTCTAAAAATTCTCGTATTTTTGTTCGGTTCCCTAGTCTTATGCTTTTAACTTGCCCTCGTTCATGTCAGACTTAGCCTACCCATCTATGACAGTGCCCAACTCTTGGTATATATCGTTCCTAATACACTGAAAGCTCAACATCAGATACGATTAACCATCTTACATTTCCTCCTTTCTCCTAAATTGATTCAGCTCATCAGTATTTCATTTCCAGCTCATCTTTATTACTCCAGATCTCCTCTGCTATATTTATTCACGTTTGCCTTTTGAAGGTCCAAAGACTGATAAATTGTACATGTGTACTTGATTTAAATGTTCTTGTAGTAGCTCACTGCATTCTTGAAATCCTATTCTTCAAAATTTGTCAACGTATTTTGTTTGCCCCTATGAATCCACTAAGATTGCTACAACCTCCCATGTTTTTCTAATAAAGGGACATAGAGTTTAACAAAGAAGGCTGGAAGTTAGAAACAGAATATGCAAGAAAGATTTGGCTTAAGTATGCCATACTGTGCTTTTGAACTATGCTGTTAATTGTGCCACAATAGCATGCAATAGCATTTTGCTTCTTGGGACTAATAGAAGTGGTAAAATAGTGGTCAGAATAGCGGTTCCGCTATTATCGCTGCTAAATACCGCTATTTAGCCGTTATTTGCTTTAAAAATATCGATTTGCTAAAAACGGCGGTCTTTTTACTTTTAGCTTCTTTGGTTCTTCCAAGTTCCACCACGAGGATCAGAAGAAGCTTCTTTAGGTCCTTATACCGTTCCACAAGTACAACAAGAAGGTTTCCTTTGGTTCTTCCAACGTCTCACGAGGAAAACAGTGAACGGGTTTGATAACCAGCCTTCTGAACCTACAACTTATGTTTAACAGTCAACGGGTTCAAGAATTATACAAACTCTTTTGCTATTTTATCTGGTAAACTTGACTTGTTTAAGCTGATGTTTTATGTTTAAACTGTATATTTTTTGTTGAATACATATACTATATTGAGTATTATACTATGTGTATATATAATTCTGATTATCTTATGGACCGCTATACCACCGATTTACCATCGCGATAACCGCTATATCAAATCACGGTCGTGACGGCTATTTTGAAATTTTGACCGTTGTAACAGCATAGTTTTTGAATTTGTTTTACTTATCTTCTTCATCTTTGGCCCCTTAACTTCTAATGCTGGCTTGTCTAGTGAAATGGAATTGACCTATCACATATTTGTAGTTAATCATTTGTCTTTCATTTTATGCAGATGATATGCTCATGCTCGTTTCTTTACGTTTTACGCTGTTGGAAACTTATCTCTTTTAGTTCGGGTGATATATCGCCTCTCACTGATAACTCAGCGAGGTTCGTGTCATTGCAGACAGTGATTCACACTTCACCGCTTGCTCTGACGTATTTGCTTTACATGGTATGTGCACAGTCTAATTTACAGCTTTCCAAGTAAAAGTATTTATTTTATTTGTATTTATACATGTCATGTTCCTACTTTTTTGTTTGTTATTTGAAAGCTAGCTACTATGGAGTCCGTACGAGGAGTAAATGTACCCATGTACACCACGCTTAGGAGGACGACAGTGGTATTTACAATGTTTGTGGAGTTTATCTTGGTGGGTCAGAAGTATACCCGTTCTGTAATCGGAAGGTAATAATTTTTATTCTATTTCTATGCTTTCATGTGGCTCATCTATTCTTAGTCACAAATGAGTGATGCAAGTAATTAAGCATCATTGTAGTGTTTGTGCCAATTCTGGTTAATAGTACCATCTGAAAACATAATTCATTTTTATGTCAAAGAGTACCCCATATTATTCTGAATGGAAATCTAGCCATAGATGGATGCTAAGGAGTGATGCAAGTAATCAAGCGTCATTGTAATGTTTGTGCCTATTCTGGTTAACAGCAGTACAGTACTGTCTGAAATTTAATTCCTCTTCATGCCAAGAGGTAATCCATATTATCCTGACTGGAAATCTAGCCATGGATGATTACTAAGGCATATTACTGTACCTTATCATATTTAGTGTATTCATATGAATCTATGTCCCTTGAATGCACATTTGTATTGTTTGCCCATCCTTCAAAGCTCTAGAAGTATCGACATCTGCTGCATGCTGATCTCAGTTATGTGCTTGATTGCTTTGTTGTTGTAGATATTATTGTCTCGTATGCTGTACGGTTATCTGCATTTAACTGTCCAGTCCTCTTTTATAAGTAATGCACATTTGTATTTTTTTCCCATCCTTCAAGGCACTTATGGCTCCAAAATTGTCCACATCTGCTGCATGTTGGTCTGAGTTCCGTGCTTGATCGCTTTCTTGTTGCAGATATTATTGTCTCATATGGTATAAGTGTATCTGCATTGACCTGCCTAGTCCCCTATATTGGTAAGGGATGAAACCAAGAAGGCCATATTAATAAAGGAAAGCTCTAATCTGACCTCAAATTTTAAATACTTCTTCCATCCAGAAAAGAAAATGACAGATTTGGACTTCCAATGTCCGTGTGTCATGCTATTGGTTTCCAAATTTGAAATATATGCGGATTTAGTTACAAAGTCAACACCATAACACCACCAACATTTTACTTTTGGTAATATTTGTATAAACTTTGTGTAGTTGTTGGGTTTTCTAAAATACATAAAAAAATAATGTCGTTTAGGTTGCTTGAGATGAAAGTCAAAGTTTGTCTTTTTTGCTTCATTTTTAGAACATTATATCCAAATATTCAAAACTACCTAAAGATTAATGACTAATAAAATTGTTTTTATTTTACTTGGGTTTCTGCCCAGTTAAACATTTGTGAATTTTTTAACAAAATAATTTCTTAGTCTTGTAGCTCTATACCAAAACTTCAACCACTCTGAATTCTGATTGTTGTACAGTGTCCACACATGTAGCATTAAAATGCAACCACTGTTTTGAAGTATTCTGGTTCCAGAGAATTTGTTATAACATATGCAAAAATCAAAGAACGAAGAATAAGGCTATAGACTTACCTGGGGAACTTTATAGGGAAAACCATGGCCATGGGTGAAGGTAGAAGATAATTCACTGAAGATAACTGGAGAAGTATAAAAGATGTAGCTCAACATAAAACACATTTGCACCCAAACCCAACCATCTTTTATGAAGTTTCGATAGAAGGATTCCTCTACCAACGTAAGACAATCAACAGCCACTGAAACTCCCATCAATACGGGTGTAGGTATACAATGGCGAAAACTATAGCAGGCCCATGCTAATAGGATTTTATGCCCCTGCATTCTGCATCCCCACTACAGGACTAATGGTTGCCAAGTTCTTCACTACCACCACTTAATCTCATTAACTTTCTCCTTTTTGGGATGTCATAAAAACATAATTTGAGTTGGCGAAAAAATTATGTCCATGACAGAATTTGAGAAATTTTCAACTGAGTTTTTCATTGTTAAATATGTGTGATGCAGTACAATTAAAATGCTCCTGAACTTAATTTTTTGCCTTACAAATGGATTTGCATAGCCAACTTAATTGTGAATGGGATACACTGTCTGTATATAGGAATAATTTTAAAACAATTCGATTTTATTTAAAATCTTTTAATGGGAGTATTTGTAGCATCTACTTGTGTAGTTTTTTTTTTTTTTTTTTTTTTGCAATATTCTCTGTTTGCAAGTATGATTCTAACTCCTACATTTAACTCAAAAAACTTAAGGTTTTATCAGTGTAGCCTTGATTGTATTTGGTGCTTTCGTTGCTGGATCTCGGGACTTGTCGTTTGACGCTTATGGCTATGCTGTTGTGTTCTTATCAAATATCACTACAGCAATATATCTTGCAACAATATCCCGTGTTGGTAATCCACCCTCCTAGTACTACTTGTTAGCATCTTGATGTGTCTTTTTATCATCAATTAGTACTTTATTTTTTTCAGGAAAATCAAGTGGACTCAATAGCTTTGGCCTCATGTGGTGCAATGGTGAGTTAACAATGTTCAGACGAAAACTTGTACATACAGGATTATTCTCTCTCTTTGTTTATACATCAACTATGTGCTTCAAATTATAGTGATCATAAGTTCATTTCATGTGTAGGAATTTTATGTGGACCAGTCCTGCTATTTTGGACTTTCATACGGGGTGACCTACGGATGACTATGGACTTCCCATATCTGTTTGCTCCAGGATTTCTGGTAAACATTACCATTTAAGAACTCATTCAAGATGCCATCTTTCACATATTTTTTAAATGTTCTGATATCCTCATTTATAATTATCGTTATCATCATTTTTGCATTTTCCAGTTAATGATCTCACTCAAAATATTTTTCTAAGCTTGAATATGTTATTTCTCTACTCATAATTTCTTTTTCATCATCAACCATTTGATACAACGCATCTCTACTTCTTACGTATATCATATTCAGTTAATTTTCTCAATTTACATATATATGTTCACAGTTATTGAACATATATACGAATGAGTTATATAGAGATGTGAATAGATTGAAAATATGTGTATATGAAGAGCATACATGATAGTGTAATTGTTGATGTATATATTAATAGAAATTCAACAATTATACTAAATCCAAGAAATAAAAGGATATCGGGTTCATTGGGTTGGGTTGGGTTCAAATAATAGTAACCCGATATCAACCCAATACCTACGGTTTGACAATTTTACAACTCGATTAGACATCGGGTTACTTCGGGTTGAGTTATTTCGCATTGGGTTAGGTTGGGTTGATCGGGTTGGTCGGGTTTTTGAGCACCCCTAGTCTCAGTTAAGCATATTGGTGTAGTACTCCTGATTATCAATCAGCGTCTTATGTTTCAGCCAGATCTGCTGTTATGACTTGAAACTACATACAATCAAGTTGCTATAGAATAGATAATTATGAAATTAATGTGGGTAGGGGATTAAAAATGTTGGCAAGGGGTAAGAAGTAGAAGCTGATTAGTAGAAGTGCCAGTTGTCATGAAGGTGTTTTCTGTCATTTTCTTTGGTTTGGCATTTGTTATCAACTACCTCGAAATATTTGAATTGTTGTATCTGATGTCCCAAACCATTTCCATTTCGGTAATTGCGAATCTTAATCTTCTTCATGAATTCATAATGGGCAGATTGTATTGCTTCTGTCCTGTGTGCTTGCATTTTTCTTGAACTACTCTATCTTCCTCAACACAACTCTCAATTCAGCGGTCACACAGACAATCTGTGGTAATCTAAAGGTATCTTCCCTGCTCCATTTTTATTTTTATTTTTTCTAGAGGAATTGAGATATGATAAAGATTTTGCCATTTCTAATATTTTCTATCTTCTACCAATTGTGAAGGCTTTTGGTTTCTTGAACCAAGTTGAAGCATTTTCAAGGGTGTCTCTGTTTTAAGTGATAGGATTCAGAAAGTTTTAGCATTTGGGCATGATCAAATGAGAAACAGCAAAAAATGTACCACAAGTTTCACATTGTGAAATAATTCCTTGAATCCTAGGTTGAGATTATTTGATTGTGTCCCTTCACATATATGATTGGACAAGTGACATAGAATATTAAAAACTACAATCCAGAGTGTGCAACTCTTGAGTTATGAAATTTTTACACAAAATCAAAGGTAGTAATAACATTTTTATGTAGGATCTTTTTACCATCACATTAGGCTGGATGTTCTTCGGCGGGCTTCCATTCGATCTTGTGAGTATACGATTCCACATTTCCTTTCCAAATGGTTTGCATCTTTTTTCTGATCATTCAATCGTTTATCTTTTCAGTTAAATGTTATCGGGCAACTTCTTGGATTCGTTGGATCAGGTTTCTATGCCTACTTCAAACTTTTTGGGAAGTGATTTCTTGAAAATCCTAGCGGGCCAAATCATCTCGATAACTTACTCCCTTGCTGCCTTCAAAAGGGAGTGGAGTAAAAATATACATCATCTCAAAAAGTTTGGGCAAGTTTTGTGCATGATATATGGTGTTTTGAGTTGAGGATAACTTTTAGGATTAACGAGGGACTGGAGATCTGGAAATTATTTTTTTGAACTGTAAATTGGTGATTCGATGAACATACCCTCGGAATCGTAATATGGCTAACATCTTTTTCGATGAACTCTTAACATAGCTCCAAAAAATGGTTCATTAACCGGTCGTCGGGCTTGAAAGTGGCGTCGTCGATTCGGTTTTTTAAGCTTAGGCTAGCCCTTGATTGGCTCAACTGATTTTTTTGGCCTTTTTATTTCATCACATAATAATATTGTTGAAAAAAATACCTGATTTTTAGTGTTATAACTTTTCATTAAAACAATATGAAATTCGATCTAAAATGCTAAAATTAGTTGTTTCATATTCGATTTTCAAACTTTCATTTTTCCGATCTTTAGAATGCCGTTTTTTTGTTTTTTAAATATGAAAATCTTTGCCTTTTGTTCATCTTGTTTGAAATTATACAATTCTTGGTAGGGGTGTTTTAAAAAATGGTTAAAATGGTCGAACCAAGTCAAATTGGATTATTTTTGGCGGTTTGACGGTCTGGTTTGGTCTGAAAAATTGTCAAACCGTTTCATCCGGTCCTGTTTGCAGTTTGAACATTTCTTTGAGCGGTTTGGAGTAAACCGATCGTCAAAATACACGTGTATTAATTATATTTAATTTACATGGTGTAGGCTCAACAATTCAAAAAAGTATGTCTAAGATATTTAGTTTTTAGTTTTCGCTTCTCAATTATGTGTTTTTTAATTAGCAAAATTTTGAAATCCGTCAAAAAAATCAACTTCCAAAATTTCAAATCATCCTTGACTTTCTTCATATCCGTCTAAAATTTCAACTATTTTCAGTAGACATGTTTCAACTTTTTTTCAATCAATGTTTTTTTTAGTTTTGGAAATGAATGTTTCTTTTATAATTCGTTGTAGAATTTTTATTTTAGTAACGTTATAATGGTAGAAATTTCATTTGGGATATAGATATTATGTTTTTATAATTTAAATCTCATAATAGGCATAAACGGCTAAAAACCAAACATGCCAAATCGCATTATTATAGTCCGGTTTATTGGTCACTTGCTGTCAAATCGTTTTGTTTGAAAAATTTCTAAACCGGCATTTTGGTTTGAGGTGATGGGTGGTTAAACCGTCCAAAGTGGACCGTGAATACCCCTAATTCTTAGTTTCTTTACTGCCACTTTTTGAAATATCGATGAGTGGTGGTGTTTGGAGTTGTGAATTGACTTCGTTTTTTTTTCAAAGATATATTATCAATTTCAACAAGATTGTGTTTTCAATGATTCTTTGTTTTTTATTTGCTCGTTGCTATCATAGTAACCCTTCAACATACACTAAAGCTAACATTACTCAATTGATTCCTTCACATATATATATATATATATATATATATATATGTATATATATATATGTATATATATATAGAATGATGCCACCCAAAACAATAACTGATTCGGAAGCTAACATGCTAGCTTATATCATATTATTAAATCACTCACGGGTTCGGCCGTCATGAGAGGGTATTGTGATTGTTTTTTCCTTCCAACATTGCAAGAATCCAGGGACGGACCCAAGAATTTTTGGATACGGTGGCACCATATAAAACGGTTGCACCTTTCACGAACCTAATTTTTTTACATTACCACGGAGGAACAATACAGTGACACATGCCACCTAACCACCCCTCTAGGTCTGTCTATGCAAGAATCCAAATCTGGAAGTTGGTCATTACCTGTACAGATTATAAAAGTAGATTGTGTGTACATACTTAATTCATCTAACTTTGATTGGTTTTGGCAGCTACCTTAGTTATAATGAAATTGGATCTTCACCAAGTGCCTGTGCTCCTTTCTATCCCTTTTTCAAAAATCTTCATGTAGCATATATTCTCTCTGTCTTCAAATAAGTGTTGTAAGTTTTAAACGTACACTACGCGTGTCTGACCATGATACTGATGAAGAGTACGTAAATCTATAGGGTCACATATAAAGAATACGTATGTTTCAATAAGATTGTTTTGATAATAGAAAACACGAATAATATCGTATGTTTATGATTTTATTTAAAAAGGATTTGATTTATGGGGCTTAACAGGAATGTGATTAAGGATTAAGGTATTTTTGAGGACTAGCGCCTATCTCCAAACTATGGTTAACCTATAATATAATTAGGTTATAGAGCCTAAGCCTAAAATCAATCTAACAGTTACAATTTTCAGGTATCATATCACAGAAATAAACCTTATTCTTTTATGTTAAAAATACATATTAGATTGGAAATATGTGAGTTTTGGAGCTAAAACTATATTAGAGTCGAGCGTTATCGTGTGTAGATCGCTTTAGAGAAAACCTACATCAGTTTCTAGTGCTTCGTTTAATTCGTCTACAAACCTTAAGGAAGCGTCTGGTTTGTAGGATTGTTTTTGATTTGAGGGATCCAGATTTCATGAAGGGATTTGGATTGGAATCCGTTTATGTATTTGGTTTGTAGGATTTGGAATAGATTTGAATTTCATTCTTTTTATAAATCATGTTTGGTTTGTAAGATTTGGATTGAGATTTGAATTTTTTTTTTTTTGTAATTATTTGTTTGCTTATAAAGAAGTTTATTTGGTAAATTACTTTTTCTTATCAATTCTTTGAAAATTGCATATGTAATCACCAGCTGATGGGGATGGAAAAAAAAATACAAAAATATAGTTTCCGATCAAGGTGTCCATCGGAAAAATGTCATTAAAAAAACAAAAAAAAACATGATTTTAGTATTACCAGCGGGCACCCTCATCCGCCAACAATAAAAAAAATGTTTTTATTAAAACATAATATAACATGATATTGGTATTACCATCACTTACCCTATCCGTCGGTAATATCAAAATCATGTTTTTTTTTTTAAATTAAAAAAATAAATTATTAATATTGATTGATTGAAATTATCGGCGGATTTTAATTACAGAATAATTAGTAAACTTCTGCCAGTAATTTTAGTTAATTAAAATTAATTATTTTTTAATAATTAAATAAATTTATCTATCCGTTTGGAAAGTAACTGGATTTTTTTTTTCATTTTCTTTCAAATAACCAGTAGTGGTTATGTGGCAGATTTATGGCCGAAATCAATGAAAGTTGATTTTTTTTTCATATCCGTCAGTTATCCGCTGATAAATCTGACAAAAAAAGTCATGTTTTCAGTAGCGCTAGAGATCTCCACGGATATGCACATTAAAAAAGCGATGTACTTTTTATGAAATCCACCAGGATTGGGATTTAAAATGCCAACCATCTCCTAAGGATTTCCAAATCTATCCTAAGATTTCAAAATTTGGACATTTCTACAAACCAAACATCGGATATGAATGAATTTTAAATCTAAATCCTCCCAGATCCATTTCATTCCTACAAACCAAACGGAGTCTAAAGGTAATTTTCTGAGCACCATATAGTTTTTTTTTTGTTCAGTTTAATGTGTCATTGGATCCGTTATAAGTTTCTTTATAAAAAGTTTTCTGAAAACTAAAGTAACCTTTTGAGAGCAAAATTTTGTTTTCTGCTGCATTTTGGATCTGGATACTTTAATTATCCTACAAGTGTCTACAATAAAAATGACACATAGTTTTAGACATATATAATTATTAAAAATATTTAGTTAATCAAATGACAAATTTATCTTTAACTAATTTATCTATTTTATACTAAAAAATACTTGTGCATTGATTAAGGATAGATTTGAAAACTTAGTTATATGTTTTTAAAACCGAACCTTTATTTTAAGACAAACATAAAAAGACAAACATATATTTGGGAACGAATGGATAAAATACTTTCCAATTTGATCGTTGATAAACTATATATAGTAGTAAGAGCATGATTTACTGTAATATTCGGGTTACGGGTTTTGATTTAAGATTCTGATATAAATATATATATATTTATATATATAGGAATGTGTGTGTGTTTCGGACAGAGATAATCGATTCACTTCTTTGTTTTGGAAGAGCTTCCAAAGAGAAATAGGTTCGCAGATTAAGTTAAGTACAACTCATCACCCTCAGACTGATGGACAAAGTGAACGAACTATCCAAACGTTGGAAGATATGCTTAGAACGTGTGTAATTGATTTCGGAGATCATGGGATAGTCATTTGGCTCTGGTGGAATTTGCATATAACAATAGCTACCATTCAAGTATTCAGGCAGCACCTTTTGAGGTTCTGTATGGACAAAAATGTCGAACTCCTTTATGTTGGAACGAAATAGGTGAAAAACAGTTAGTTGGGCCTGAGTTAGTTCAGCAGACTGCCGATAAAATTGGCTTGATACGGGAACGAATAAAAGTAGCACAAGATAGACAAAGAAGTTACGCAGATAAACGTCGGAAGCCGATTGAGTTTCAAGTGGACGATAGAGTGATGTTAAAGGTATCACCTTGGAAAGGAATGGTACGTTTTGGAAAAAGAGGGAAGTTAAGTCCAAGATATGTTGGACCATTCCCTATTATTGGAAAGGTTGGGGAAGTGGCTTACAAATTAGAACTTTCTTTAGAGTTAAGTGGGATCCATGACACATTTCATGTGTCGAATTTAAGGAAGTGTCTAATAAATCCAAATATGGTAGTGCCGCTACCCGAAATAAAGGTGGACGAAATATTGTGCTTTGAAGAAACCCCTGAACTAATTACTGACTACAAAGTGAAGAAATTGCGAAATAAAGAAATCGGGTTAGTAAAGGTTCATTGGCGTTATCATAAAAGACCAGACACCACTTGGGAATCAGAATTAGAGATACGAATGAAATATCCCTACCTTTTTGCTTAAATGTAATTCCGGGATGGAATTCTTTTAAGAAGGGAATGTTGTAATATTCGGGTTACAAGTTTTGGTTTAAGATTCTGGTATAAATATATATATAGGAATGTGTGTGTATGTGCATTTAGTTGAATTAAAGTTTTGATGGGAAAAAGGGGAGTCGGCAGTATGCGCCGCCCCCATGGTTTCTCTCTTACTATAAATAGTAAAAAGGAAGGATAGAGAGAAGTTTTACACACACACACACACACACTTTTTCTAAAAGGGGTTTGGAAGCAGATTTTGGAGAATTAGATCAGGCAGAAAT